TCTTAGGCGAGTTTAATGTACCTACGGTAGGCTGGAAAAATCTGAGAACTGAGTTGTCAGGAAATCCCTTGAAAAAAAGATGATTGATGTTATCATCAAATGTGCACGGGTGTGACATGTGAAAGATGTGGCTATGTACAACACGGGCTCTGAATCATATTTGCTGGATATCACATTGGCTCATTATGAGAGTGTCGCCAGGCACTTTGATTATCTGCCATCCCCGAATAACGGTGAACCTGTAGTTCAAGCCTTCGATCTCCATATCGCTATCAACGACTATGTGTCAGCCCAAGCCAGACCATACGTTTGGAAAGCAAATTTACAGGATATTACACAATCAAAAGATAAGACAATAGAACCCGAATTCTCTAATGAAGCGGCTCACGAGGCATCCAGAAATTTGTACATAAAAGTTAATCGACCGCAAGTTCCTTGGACTACATCAAAGAATCTGCTAAAATTCCCCCCGTGGTTCAGTGAAGTTTATCACACTCTTCTCTGTAAGAGAGAAGAAATATGGGAGAAGTTTAGGTTGCTGAATACTCATGGGACAGAATTCAAAAATTCGGAAGCTCGAAATGTTGTACATCGACCCTTAGCATGTCTAGGATTTCATACGACGAAAAAATTGTTAAGGAGTCTATAGAACAACCTAGACACTTATACTCGTCCAGAAATCAAAGGACAATGAGAAGAGGCATCACGAAGAGAAAATAGTACCGTAACATCAGTGGAGGTCAGTCATGGTTAAGCTCAGGTATTCTCAAGTTACTTTAGTAATTTATATTCTATAGAAACACCCTTCTCTTTGGTTCATACGAATCCACTCCACATACACACACACACCGCTCACTGTGATCATTAGAGCAATCGATGTCTTTGGTCTGCTAAATGGGCTTGATATATGCAAATCTATGGGACCCGCTGAAATGCATCCAAGGTTACGAAAGGAATTAGTAAATTTTGTTGCGAATCCCTTAAGCATATGTTCTAATCTATCTGTAAGCCAAAGCAGATTACCAAAATACTGGATAAATGCCTTAGTAAGTCCCATATTCAAGACAGGCATGATATATAGACATGAGAGCTATCAACATGTAAGCCTAGTGAGGGTGGTTGCTAAAACTTTAGAAAAGATTGTTCGGAAATGGTTGTTTGATTATCTAGACTACGAGCTTAATCTTCATGAAAAACAGTATGGCTTTAAAACAGGTTATTCATGTCTCGCAAAATTATTGGTGGCCCATGAAATTTGGTGCGCTCATAAAGATCGAAAGTTACCTGATGATGTAGCTTACATAGACTTCAGCAAGGCTTTCGATAGAGCTGATCACAACCGGATGTCATATAAGTTAAGTAATATTGGGGTTGGAGGCATATTATTGTGGATAAAGTACTACCTAGTTGAGCGTCAACAAAGAGTACGTGTGAACTCGAGGTTGTCTATGTGGGAAGCTGTGCTTACCACAGTGCCTCAGGGTACAGTTTTAGGGCCAGTGTTGTCCTCCTGTTTGTAGATGACCTTCCTAGTCTCCTATCATCATCGGTTTTGTTATGTGCTGACGATGTGGAGATATGGAGAGCTATCAAAAGTAAAGGCGATAGTTTAGAGCTTCAGAATGACCTGGTTAAATTATCTGGCTGGTCTAAATTTTGGCAGTTGCAGACAAGTGCCTTCAAGTGGATTATGATGCATGCTGGTCACCAGGGTATATAGAGATACACGGTGGATAACAGTGAGCCACCTGTTGTCCAGACACACAATAACACAGGAGTCGTCGTTAGCCAAAACTTATAAACTACTGCACACTGCCGCTGAAGGTTTTAGATCCATATGTTCAATACGTGTGGTCTTTGGTCATGTCGATGCTAAAACCACCTTGACTTTGCATACAGTATTCGTCCGTCCTAAACAAGATTACTGCGTAAAATCGGTCAGTCCTTACCTAAAAAGAGGCAGCGAGTTGTTGGGAAAAATTCAAAGAACTGTAAATAAGTTGATTCTCGGTATAATAAAGCCATCTTATGATGCTCGACTGGCTTAACTATACCTATTTTTGTTGTCATGTAGAAGAAACATGGGGAACCTTATAAGATTTTAAATTAATTGGTGGTAAATTTGCATCTGATACTCCTCACTTTCCTTGTCCTCCAAATCAGAGGATTTACGAAGACACCATATAAATGTTCTCGAGTCAAATCATCAAGGAATGGAATCCACTACGTCAACACGTGATTCAGATTCAGATTTGTATAGTAAGGACAGGGGGCCTAAGACCTATGTTATTCCTTTCCTAGTATGCTCCTGTGACTGTCCAGTCCTCTCTTGAAAGAGTCTATTGAAGGTGCGGACACCACTGCTTCAGGCAGCAGGTTCCAAGTATTGACTAATCGGTGTAAAAACCAGTATGCGACTGGTATTTTATTTCGTTCTTGCCTTTTCTACTCGCCTGCTCTGTCCTCTGAGATGTTCCGATCTAGTGGGAAAAAAAGAGAAAAAGTTAGGTCCAAAATCATTTCTCAGTATTGTGTACATCAAAGTTAGATCTTCCCTTAATCTGCGATAAGACAGAGTGAAGAGATTTAGCTTTTCAAGCCGCTCTTTGTAAGGTAAGCCCCGGAGTTCTGGAGTTGCACGGGTAGCTGTCCCCTGTACTATTTCTAGGATATCTGAGTCACCTTCTAAACACGGGCTTACGGCCCGAACGCAGTCCTCAAGCTTAGTTCTCACTAAGGATGTGTACACTTTGGTGAACATGGTAGTATCTAGCTTAGTGAATGTCCGTTTTAGTGCCCAGAGGTTTCGAAACCCCTTAGCTGCGATCTCCCGGCCATAGGACGTCGTCTTAGGATCCTGACTCACTGTCACCCCTAGATCCCTATGAGACTGGACCACGGGTAACGGCGCTTCCCCTATGTTATACCTATTAACATTTGAGTCCCCAAAGTGCACGTAAACACACTTTGCCGCGTTGATAGGCATCAGCCACTCTTTAGACCAGTTAATTATATTATTTAAGTCTGTCCGAAGAGCACATGAGTCTGTGTCTGTGTCAGTGTATAATAACAGTGGAGACCGTACTATACTTGGAAGATCATTAACATACATTATAAAAAGTAAAGGAACTAGGGCGGAACCTTGAAGTATTCCACTAAGTACCGGTCTCCAGATGGAGCACTTGGAATTTATTCTTACCTTCTCTCTCCGACCTACTAGGAAATCCTTAGTCCATTTCAAAAGAGGTCCAGCAATACCAAGGTTTTCCAACTTCAATAGCAGTTCATTAGTTGGCACCTTGTCAAAAGCCTTACTGAAGTCTATGTAAACAACATCCACTGAGTTTCAGCTGTCTAAAGCCTTTATCCAAAATTCCCCTGCTGTAATTCGGTTCGCTGTACAAGATAGACCCTTTTTTAAAACCATGTTGTTCTATGTTTAGCAAGTTATTGGTTTCCATAAATGTAATTATGGTCCGTTTCACTATTCTTTCAAATGTTTTAACTGCAACACTGGTGAGGCTTACAGGTCTGTAGTTCGATGGAACTTGTATTGGTCCTGTTTTGTGTATGGGAGTAACGATTGCGTCCTCCTAGTCCATAGGCAACACACCTTGATCAAGTGACATATTGAATATCACAGTCAGTGTGGCCACGATATATTGTGCAATATGCCTCAAGATTTTGGGTTGTAGTTCACCTGGTCCTGTTAACTTTTCCATGTTTAAGATGCTAAGAGCCTTAAGCCCATCGTCTTGATCGAAGTCCGCGGTGAGCAGGTGATTTACTGACTTTGTATTTTGGTCTGGTTCCTTGTCTAAAGGAGTTTCTGGGTGAAAACTGCCCCAAAATAGTCAGCCATAGTCTCTGCTTTTCCCTGATCTTCCTCTATCATTTCAGATCCCCTCCCTTCTTTAATTAGATTGAAAATCCAATGATGCATCCTAGTTCTGTAGTTTATGTACGAGAATATTCTCTTGGGCTGCTTGAGTGCAGATTGTGCCAACGAAATTTCATGTTTTCTTTGAGCTTCTCGAATTTTTGCTATACACTTGTTTCTTACCGATCTGTAGTGTTCCATCATACCTGCTGTGCCAAGGTGGATGGCGACATCCCAACATTTCTTCTTTCGTCTCAGAAGCACAGCCTATCCAGGGATGGCCGTGCTTCTTCTTCTTTGTGTCTGTCCAGGGTATGTACAGTTGATTTACCCGATTGTAAAACTGCTTGAAATGCGTCCATGCCTCTTGCACTGATGCCCTTGAGTCAATTTTCCAGTTTTCAGCTGATGCTGTGGAGTTGATGGCCTTCATATCTGACTTCTATACGTTAGGACGTGCCGGCGCAACTGTTTGACAGGCAATCTCAGCTATGAATTTAGATAAAATGACTGCGTGTTCAATTTCCCGTAGTGGTGGAAAGAAAACCATTTGACCAACGTCATCACCGCGTGTGAAGACTAAATCTAAAAGAGAAGAATTTCTTAAATAATATCGTGTGGGAGTTCTAATGTGTTAGAATAAAGCTAATTCAATCGAGGTGTCTAACAGCTTGCAATCGAACGACGTTATCGATGACCCCACCTCTAAGTTAACCCAGTTTATGTACGGTACATTAAAGTCGCCTACTACAAGGCTTTTGCCCTTGTTACACCAGGACTTAAGTTTATTTGGGAGAAAATCATCTACCACACATTCTGGACTGCGACATACCACAACCAATTCAATATCTTGCCGTCTACATTTCAGCCTACATCGCATCAGTTCACAAGGCACTGAAGCTTCGTCTGACGCCTCCTTCAAAAGGATGTTGGATCACCACAATTTTCGGGACTAAGAGAGGCCACTCAGCCTTCTGTTCTTTATAAACTGAAACTGAAGTTTCTGGGAAATTTTGCAAAACATCCACAATAATTTTAATAATTTTACCCAAATTTTAGAGTTCGAGGTACATTACATGTGATCATACATTCTAATAACTGTGTGTCAATGCGAAATATTGTTGTAATAAATTGGCTAATCGCGCTTGTTACTCCGTCAAGGCCACTTGGCACGGTTAATGAACATAAATTTGACCATTTTCTGACGTAAGCTTATCAGCCTAGTACTGGTCTATTCCGTATAAACATCATTATTGTCATACTACCTAATATGCCTATGACCTGTGGTAATTAAACGACTCTATAGCTCAACAATGTAATTGGCAAAATAACAGTCTATCAGTGTAACTGTAAGAATTGGAGTATCAAAGCTTCACTGTAGCACTTAAGTACTGTATTCTTTGTCTACAATTTCAGTCTGTCGAGTCTTTAAATGCTTTTGGTCACCCTAAATGCTTATCGGATTTTTCCAAATCCATGAATCAAGTCAAGATGTATTTTATATGGACCACTGTCACTCCCCTGCTCCTCAGTCCTAGTTTAGTTCCCGTGTAACTTACAGTAACAGTCTCATGATGTCGGTATCCTGTGTTTGATAACTACTCGATCCCTTGTACTGTGATTCGTATGGCTGATTAAATTACTTTTTATTCACACAATTTAGTAGTCAAGTACAAATCTGTACATTCAACTTTGGGCCACCTATTTTGTGTAAGGTAATTACACTTTTAGGCTGCTAATACTAATGCAAACGATTTGTGGTTCGAACGTCAAACGTAAAGATAACAGTAGTGTGGTTTAGTTATTAGGTCACCGCTCCTCAGCTTGAGTAAAAGAAGTAGTGATCTTCGACAATCATTATCATCAAAACAAAATAAGGAGTATGTTGTTGACAAAAGACCTATTTGGGTGGATTTTGTAAAGAATTCACTGTGTCAAGTATCATCGTATATTTCATGCAGAAGACCAGACACTCGATCATCAACAAGTAGATCTCAAGTTAGAACAACGCATTCCTGTTTCTGAATCTGCGTAGTATCTGTGGCTCTCGCTCAACAAACGTTTCTGTTAGTCGGAAATACAAGCTTGTATTTGACAAATCAGTTTCAGTTTAAGAACAGGTGTCTGAGTGTAGCGTTAGTGAGATGGTTAGTTTCAGTCCTAGCAGTGGGGGTCTCTCAGTTTATACAATTCGTTTAGACGTGTTGACAAATAGGGTTACAATAGCTTGTTAAGGTAAGGAATTTCCCTCTATAATTATTTGGGAAAGTCGTTACTCAGCTGACAAGTGAACGTTTTAGAGTCTCCTGCTAGGCAGCTTAGTTGCTCTTTGTTGTGGTTCTATACTAGTAAATTGTTCGTCCGTATAAGGTTTGTGTCGTACATGTTTTGAAGATGGACCTTACTACTAAGTTCTTTCAGTCGTTTGATAAACTACCCTGGGCTAGATATAAAACATACTTAGAGGATTTATATTAAGTGCGCGAGTTCTTTGAGCGCCCTAGTGGGGATTTCGCCGGGTCCCATATATTTTCCTACATCAGTCAGTCAGTCAGCTGTAACGTAGGACCAGGCACATATATGCATCGGTCCAAGTTGCCATACCGCATTAGCACAACAAGATGAACACCGGATTCATAGTAGTCACATCAAAGGTAGTAGTATATAAAGATTGTGTATATGGATATAATACAGGAAGAAAGAATTAGTTCGTAGAAAGAAAGACATTTTCCGACATTGAAGTTACTTAATAGACTAATGGCCAACTTTTTTGAGGGTCACAATATCTACAGTATGAGTGACAAAGTTTATTCGAGCTCAAGAGAAAGGTGTCTACTGTATATACATTGCTAAAGTAGTCTGAAAATACCTGGCCTCTACCGTAGTCACCTTCAACTGGCGCTTCCATACCACCACCTGTATACAATTGCGGGACCCTGCATCTTTTATTTTTTCTTCGATTTGTTTACGAGTATAAACGTTATGGGTATTCTGTTGAATCCTTAACGAATATTTTTCATACTGTCAGACTTACATAGGGCAAAGGCACAAACATTTATGGCTTCCTGATATTATTACTTGGTCTCATCAGTTTATTGCAACCTAAATCTCACAAGCTTTCCACCAGGAATGAAACTGACGATGTTTAGTCTTACGTGCGAGTATTTAACCTCTAGGCCGTTTAGTTAAAATTTCAATTTAATTTACTAATATTTAGAATCTTTAGCCGTAACTTCGCCTGTCTGAAGCCCTATCGATAACAATAGCTGTTACCACTTTATTGGAATATTCATAGAAATAGCATTTAAGTTGCATAGTTACCAGTCTGCCAGTTTACGATCAGATATACCAGTTAGATGTTTCTAAGGGTTCGCTATACCTAACATCCCAATACTTTAATTGATACTCAGACATTTAGATCCTCAAGTATGTTGGCTGACCAAAAGTATTTATAGCTTTCCATGACCTTCACTTTAGATCGTGGTCCACACTATCTTGATGGATCGTGCCTATTAGTAGTAATACCAAAGACCGCAGTCATTGTAACAGCCGTTTAGCCAGACTTCTGTCTTAAATTTCCGAGATAGGCAATAGACATCTTTTCAAACTTATTACAACATAAATTAAAATTCGGAAGTTGGTATAACTTCCTAAAAGAGTGAAACAATAGCCCGCTCTCAACCCAGCAGTCTAAAAGATGTGTAAAACATTTTGAAGAACAGGTTAACTGGTTTTCAACTGCTACCAAGCAACTTCAATGGGATGTCAACACAAGTCCTGTGAGTAGTAATAAAGTTGGGAACCTGTTATTTATCTAAAGTGGGATAAAGCAGGAGGTTTAGATGTAATAGTCTAGGAAATGATAGAGCTCTAGTTTTAGCAGTTGGGGTAGTTGCGTATACCAAATATTTGCTTCTCATGAAGTTCTGGAACAAAGACATTCCTACTGACTCCTAGCCACAGTTCTATTTCTCGACCTTAAAAAAGCATTCGGTTCTGTTGGCTGAGAAACTTTATGTGTGTCTGACAATTAAAAGCAGTCTCGTGCAGACTCTATTTGAATACTACTAGTTGAGTCGGAGCTTATGACAAACAGTCATTAGAAGTGCTAACATTTAGTGGCGTTCGTAAAGATTTTCCGGATTTCTTATTTTCATTTGACTTTGTTATAGACATCGTTTGGGAGATAACACATTCCTCATTTAATCTATCAGGAATCGACTTATCAGGAGACTCTGTTTTGAACTTAAACTAAACAGGATATAATTCTGTCTCCTGAAAATATCGACAAGATTCATAGTCTTCTAGTAACCTCGGACAACAGTGCAAAGATATTTGGGATGCGTTTCTCTCCATCTAAACGCACAATGTCACTTCAAGATAGATTTGCACTGACACCTAAACCAGTGATAGGGAATGAAGTAGTTGAGTGGGTCGACCGGCTCACTTATTTTAGGAATCTTTTCAGTCCTGATAGGCCTTTTTTTGATGAAATCTCGACATAAGTTCAGAAAGCTCAATCGGCTTTGCTAAATTGTGTTGTCTGTGGGGTAAGTCAGTCAATCAGCTACAACGTAGGACCAGCCACATATATGTTTGTGGGGTAAGTGAGATGTCCGCTTGCCAACTAAAGGACGGGTTTACTCTTTAGCAGTTTGCTTCGGTCTACTTAATGGCTGGAACGTGTCCTTTTAAAACAGAGGATGTTCGTAGGTCACTAGTATTCGCTCATAAGTGTTTTGAAGCAATGCTCCTTTATGTTGGTGCCATTAAGCTAGCAGTTCTGAGGTTAAATGCATAGTACTGAGTTAATATGACACCAACTGAGGAAGTAATGGATCTTAATCTACTGAGATGGTTGGGACATGTATTATGTATTTCTATCCACCAACTATTTTCGTACTTTTTCAATTTAGTGTATGTGATTTATTTTGATACATCAAAGGTTAAACAGGCTGAAGACGTTTTATGGTTACGATTGTCACAAGGAATCCTTTTTAGTGGCTAGAAATTGAAGATGTATCATGTAGATGCTTAATCCTTGGTTGCCGGAATAATGACTTAAAATTCAGTAAGGTTTAAAAATAGGATAATTTCAACGTGTGTTCTTAGGTCATATACGACAGGGTTTAGTTAGCTTAAAAACTGACAGGTTTTTAGTTTTGTATATGAAATCCCAAAATGATATTGTCCTGTCGAATATGTCAGATAATTCTCCCTCATGGCTGCTTATTTTAAACTTCCCACAAATTTGAGTATGTTCATTTAGCGTTTCTTTTTTGTAGAGAAATTGAATTTGTTCATTATGGAAAGTAACTCTGATCTGGAAGAAGTTCAAATTAACGTCAATGGAACAAACCGTCCTCATGCTAAATCGATAGAACAGAATTTTTCTAGTTCAATACCGAATCATTCTCTTTCTTGCACAGAAGCTCCCGCCGTGTCACTTGAAACACCAAATGATTTGTCTAAGTCACCTACCATTCTGTCAAGCTCTACTGTAACTAAGAAAGAAATTCCGTCTGATTACGTTTTTGGGTCAAATATTTCATCACGTGTTGTGAATGCTGATGTGTCGAAAGGTGCCTCGGTTAATTTATGGACATCAACATCTACAAGTCATGATTCCGCCTCGTGTGTTTTTACCACACTGGCTAAAGCAGTTACTGCTTCTCAAGCAAACTTTAAGGATTCGAAAAATCTGGAAGATTCCGCGAAGGAAGTAGCTGAGGATAAGCGGAAGGAAACATTATCTTTAGCAGAAGTCGACCTAGTTACTGGTGAAGAAGGGGAAATTCCAATCATTCGACAACACTGTCGAGCTCATATTTTCGATGCTAATAAGCAGAAGTGGAATAATATTGGGGCTGTTCATTTCCATTTAAATGATATTCCCAACGACAGTGTGCAAGGGAACAACAATAATTCCTCCAGGTCCCGGATAGTAGTGCGTTTAGTGTCTACACGCAGATTGTTGATTAATACTCTTATTTGGTCTCAAATGCCTGCCGCTCTAGTTGACTCACGAACTTTGAGGATAGGTGCAATTAATGAGGAAGGACATATCAAAAATTATCTTTTTGGATTTCCACCGGATGAGTCGGCTTCCAAAATATTTGAAATGATAAGTTTTAGAAAGTCAAACGCTACTACTCTCCCGTATGAAATTTATCATGACATAGCACCTGTTTCAAACAAAGATAAGGTGGCTGGTTGTAAGCGTCAGTTAGAAATTCAAGCCAAAGCAGATGTAGATTGCTCACTTCATGTGCCCCCGAAAATAGCCAATACTAATATCCTTTCACCTACACCAAGTGTGGTTGTATTTCCAAAGACTAATATATTTAGACCATCGGTATTCGCTCCAGTTTGTAAAGATTCGTCCAATAATTCATCGAACCCAAATCACTCTTGTCATGTGGGAGAACTACAGTTTCGAAATTCACCGTTGGATAACGTTGTTAAACGTCTCTGCGAAAGCAGTCAATCTGGTAGTTCTGAATCTTCTACACTTCCATGTAATAACAAAATAACTGAACCCCCGAAATTGTCATCGGGTGTAAATTCTCAGAATATGCCTATCAGTTCGGTTTCAAGTAATCAATGTGCCGATTTCATATTCGGCCATAACGTTTCGGAACGCGTCACAAATGCTTCTTTATCTACAGTCGTTAACCGTGATATCTCTGGCAAGGATCTTCCAGTCGAGTCTTCAGAGTCAAACGACCACGGTTTATCTCCAGAAAACGAAGAGAGTATAGATGCTTCTGAGACTGGTGAGCATTGTACTGTTCTGCCTAGTAAGCGAACACTAGAAGAATCTGCCGCTGCAGTAACTGCCGAGATGCTCGAAAAGTCGACTTATCTCTTAGCTAATCTTCCAGAATCTCCTATTCTCACCGGGGAAGAAGGAGAATACCTTACTGTAAAAGCTTACTGTCATTTTTATTGTTTTGATCGTCACAAACATGAGTGGGTTGGTCGTGGACAGGCTTACATTCACTTGAATGATGTTGCAATGAAATCTTCATCGTTGCCTAGTCAAGTCTCCCCTTTTCCGTCTGGGCCGCCTGCACGGTCTCGTTTAGTAATCCGCACGTGCCAGACTTTGAAACTTTTGGCCAATGTTCCTATCTGGTCCGGTCTGAACGTTGCTATGGCTGATGAACGCTCTATTCGTCTGACTACAGTTTGTCATCCGTCAGAAACTTTAAATGATTCTCAAAATAAGGTGAGCTAGTGCCTTGCTCAATTTCATCTAATTACGTATACTAATATCCATATCAGTTACCAGTGATTGAACCGATTTGATTAGCATTTCTTAATATGTACATCCAATCATTCTATTCATGTACACTGTCTTTGGATAAGTTGTAATATATTCTTTCCTAATCTTGCATATCAGTGACAATACACTTTCGAATAAGCTGACCTTCAGCCTGTTGACTGTTTGACTTAATCTAGTTTTTGTGGCATCTGTCATTTAACAGAAGGCATATTTGTGATAAACATCGCTAGTCGTATATTGTCTTTTATTTCTTTTCTTAAAAAGCGACGATCATCTCCAACCACTGTGTAAAAACTGAGTTCCTGGCATTGTTTCACTGCCTTGTGGATTAAACCTCTGGGTCGAAGGCCCGTGGAGTGCCCCTCCATAGGAAAACCACGCGCTTCGGTTCGGGCGCCCGGGCAGTACTCCAGCCTTCATACAAATCAAATAACAAAGTGTCGCGCATATATATTTAGTGCCTCCTTGTATTAATGTTTATATATTAAATAAACAGATAGAGCACCCAATTTCAATAATCGGAAATTTTTGAATGCAACTACATTTCAGTGATAACTTACGGACGGTTGCCATTCCAATTGCTGAGGATTGCGATTCACTATATATCATCTTATATCAAAGCATATTCTTATTCAATTATCTGTAAATCATACTCGTAATATGTTTTATTTTCAAAGATAGGGTTGTATAGTGGTAACAACATGGTTGTTCTGGGTTAAACTGGTACATGGTACTAAGATCAAATCCGTTGTTCGTCAGGTTTTTTTAAATGAAGTTTCAATTTATTAACTGATTCATTAGTCTAGTTGAATCTCTTCACTTAAGAAAATGTATGCTTTTGATTAATAGCTTTTTATTTGTCATTGATGTTTTCCTAATAAATATAATAGTTGCAACTTCATTTGAAAGAGATCGGAATCGAATATGCATGTCATACAATGTGTCCTACAAAACAGGACTGAGATACTGGTATGACAGTACTAATGATACGCAGTTTCCTAGATCTCGACGACTACAATTGGTTTAAACTTCGTGACTAGACTGTCAAGTGCCCAAAGGACTGTATAAATATTACTAGCAGCAACACAACCTTCACGATTAAACGATCTTTTTTTCAGATTGTTGCGATGTTAAGAATATTTAATGATAATTATCAACAGAAAGCGTGTTCCTTAAGCTTTACTGGTGACATTTTATACAAAACGAACTCAACCCAACTGTACATTGAAGAAATTGCATATTGGTTAAATCTTGTTTGGTAATTATGAATCATTTAATAGAATTGTAACTGTTTATGTTTTTATATACTAATAGTAATTTCACTTGTGTGGACGTTGTAGGTTATTAGTTTGATTGTTAGGATCATTCACTAGGTTTGAAGGACACTCTTCAGACAAACAAGTAGTTATATTCAATAGGTATAGCTTATATTGTATTACTACATGAACTTACACTGTATAACAATCATAATATCTTTATTTATCTTATCGATCAGCTTCTATAAACAGGACATAATTACAATGTGGATAAGTCCTAGACCGTTGGACCACTTTCATAACTGTAAGTTGTAAGGAACCGCTATTATGGAAAGCATTTTTTGTGTGTAATCGTACTAATGTATTATATCTATTCACGTAGTTGACCATGTTTGCTTTTCCTTTTGTCTGCATAGCCTTCATGTTCTATAGATTCAGTTGTTACAAAACCAGAATTTTGTGCTTATCTACTTGTTATGCATTCACATAAAGAAGCTGACCGTCTTTTTCAAGCTCTTAATTCGCGTATAAACACTTTTACTAGTCGTTTAAACGCTAAACCTACATATCTTCACGAAACAAATAGTGCATCCAACAGTCCTGGTGATTTTTCTTCTATTCATTCCCGTACACATGGTCATCTTGAGGAAGGTGATGACTCTCCTAGTATTAGTAAAGTTGATGACGAAACCCTACGACCATGTAAGTTTTTCCGTGTGTGATTTTTGAGGATTGAATTTGTAAACAGTGGTTCACAAGTACATATATGTTGAGAAATCTTTATTATCAGTTAAAGGGTGTGTACACCTTATACTTCATGAAACTATACATGTTAGGCATTTTCTTTCCTCCGTTAGTTCTAGACTATCACTTGATAAAAATTGTTAACTATTGTGTGCAAGAACATATATCTATACTTCACTAAATGGCGATTATATGTCGTCTACGTTAGCTTCTAGTCGAAGTTAACTATTTTCAACATAGATGTTCCTGAAATCATCGATAATCAACCATTACACACCTACTTTAAGAGTGAACAGTCGAACAATCTTATTGGTATTCATACATTTGACAGGTATCCATGTTACATCCGTATCTGGAGTTATCCAATAACCTATAAGTAACAGCCTTATTACTTTTAGTTTTTGTTTGGCTCCTATTACTTTGTGATGATATTACTGTTTCAAACGAGTAGAATCCTTTCAATCCGAATGACCAAGAAAATAGATCCCTTTTCTCCAGAGGTTATGGCTTAAGCAAATGATCATAATTACTATAGCCATTGTGGGATAAGTAACTGTTTTACAAATTATTGACACGAATCCTTTAATAACAACTAATACTCGTTGACAAAAATATAGTTATTGTAACTCACTACCTTAACGTTTAAAACTATGAGTATTGAATTTGAATCCCAGTGAGAACACCTATCCACATCGGACGTAACACGCCATAAATGACAATATTTAGGTATATACTCAATATTCCAATATTAACTAAACAGTTCAGTTCAATAAATCGCCAATAAAAATGCCAGAAATTCAACAGTCATTATCATCTATTACTATTTACTCTCACCTATTATAGACATGAAATTAGAAATTGACGAACCTCCGACAGATGCGAACTCTCAATCTATGGGTTTCACACCACCTGACAATTCGAATTGATCTGTCAAGAGAAAATTACAAGATTTTTGATCACATCCTAATGTATTTTAATAACCTTTCTTCAAGTAATCCCGTTGTGAAAAAAGTGCTATGATCTATAAAATATTACATGTATCGTTCATATGTATACGTACATTTATAAAGTTTCCTCCTATTATATACACATACATGTCTATTTATTATGTTGATACCATACAATCTTGAATATCAAGGTTTTGTTTGTTATTTCAACTTATTCGTCCAATACACTAGTTAACTCTGTGTTTTAATATTAGAAACTAGTAAACAAATAACCAATCAAGTATTTATTTCTGTTCGTTTTTACTTTTTCAGAATTAATTTATTCACTCACTATATTGTTGAATGTTTCGGAGATTTTTTTAAATAGTTGTAGCTACAACATGAACACAGATATATTTGTAAGAAAAAAAGGGTAAAAGCACAGCAATTTAGCATTTTTCTTGTTTTGTTTTACTTTATGCCTATTTGCTTATTATTCCACAATAGAGAGTTGGAATATTCATTGGTAGAGAATATTGAACACTTGATTGTTCCTGCTTTAGATTGATTGCCTGAATCCATTAAACTTTTAGTTTTGTTACTCGTATTATGTCATAATAGCTCCATTTCTCATAGTGTACTTTGTTTCTAAGTCGATTTTATATTTTTCTCATGAAACTTCTGTTTGTATTTTGTGCAATTGTCCTCGATCAGATGTTCAAAGAAGTAGCAGTAGCTTAGAGTACTGGTAGTTTTTCGTTAGCTAAATGTTAGGAAATAACCCATTTGCTTATAATTATATATATACACGGATACTCTTCTATATTGCTAAATACCAGCGTTTTTTATAGACAAATAAAATATTTAGCTCTTATTATACAACATTTATTCACTAGAATAACAGTAAATAATTAAGGATTCCTTTACTTCCTAACAACACTGAACTTAGTCAATAAACAAATTTTTCTCCAAAACACCGTCTTTAATATTTTAAACTAACTGGTGACTACCACTGAAGTTGATAAGTTTGGAGTGATCAGGCATATGGATTTAAGAAATAAGACCGTTTTCCCATGAATTTATGTGTATAATATGTAGTTTCTGACGTGCAGTGACTTGGTTGTTAAGGTAATTGACTTTCTATCTTTATCTAACAGATGCCAAACATGGCTTATCAATTTCTGTTTCAGCATCTGGTTAGTATCATGAGTTCTTCCATATAAGAGGCGTGGCTCAAATCCGGGTACATGAAACTGTCCTTGGTATGTCCTGATAAAACTGGGATCTAGACTGGATGAGTCGTATGAAGTCGGGCGTTAGATAATTGACTTACCGGTGATAAATAGGTAACCTATGTGTGATGTTAATTGACTATCTAGATTGCAGTACATTACTTTATCACCATAATTCGTCCATCGATTGAACGATTTATTATTTTGTAATCCTTGTGCTCAAATTGCCTATATGTTAGTTGAATTGATATGTTTTTTACGACCTCTACGCATTACGATTAGTTATCTGATTGAAAAAGTTCGTATATGCTTACCGATCATTAGTGACAGTCTGTCGAGCAACAGCGAGAACGAATTTGATGTATTCACAAGCTATAAGTCAAAAAGAAATCATTTACGTAATTCTAAGGAATTTATATCTGGGTAGTGCAACCGTTGTCGAAATACATTTGAATATACATGGTTCAAACTTCAAGGCACTTCAGGAATTCCCCATATTTTCTACATGATGCTCGATACCTCAGAAATAAAATGGTTCCTAATTCTAGAAATTTGATGTATAGCTTCACAGCTGAAATTCTAAGGAATCGATCTCATTTCTAATCATCAGAGTCAATAAAAGTCTTGAAAATATTTTTAAACCAATGTCTTATGTTACACTAGGCGTTAAAGCGGATATGAAGCCAATCGTGTGGATCCTTATTAACAGTGGATTGCATGCTGTTGGTTTAAAAGGCTCCATCAATGACGAGAAAAGCGTAGAAAATGATCCTTATATTTCTCAATAAATAGGATCCGACGAATAATATGCTAACTGGGGACTTAAATACATAGGTCAGTTGTCTAAGCACAGAGTCGTTTGGGTAACAAATGGAGGTTCGTTATCCGCAAGTTTAATAATGGGTAAGGCCCGGGACTTCGTGCAGATTACTACCCTTTCCTGGTCAGTACCAACTTTCGACATAATGATTACTTGTTTCTTGCATACCATCCTCCCTCTGCTATACAAGCCTGCACTAAAATTGATTACATTCCTATTAGCTGTTAGTGGCTTGGTTGTATTCAGGACTGGCGTTTCTTTTTGAGTATCTATCAGGGTTCTGATGATGCCTATGTAAGGGCGAAATCTATTTTATATTTTGGTGGCAAAGAAATTTCCTTTCCTAAAAGAACTGATAAAAGTAAACTGACTACAATGTCCGCTACATTCAAATATAAATCCGAGCAAGATTTAAAGCTAGTCGATAGCCAACTGAAAAGCGCACATGAACGCTGGATTAATGTCTCCATAAAAGTGAGGATTAAGACCACCCACAACTTCACTAAACGTCCCACATGCCAAATGGACCTATTAGGGCTCCCCCAACTCCTTGAGTTATGGTGGTTTAATTCAGCAAACCATGAGTTTGTTTCCATAAATAACTCATAGGACTCCCCAAGACTTTCGTAATAACTGTGAAACCTGTTAGTCGAAGGGTTGTATCTAGTTGGGAGCAGCATTTACGCCTCTCCTGCTTCTGGGGATTGCTTCAACTAATTTGAGACATTGGTAGCAAGAACCCTAGCGTCATTGAAACATAACGCCGGTTCGTAACCTCGAACTCGTATAGTGCATTTTTATAGTTCTACGGATTTTGCTGAAATAAATTTTTCTAAGCTGGGTAGTTTACTCATGAGGTTTTCGTTGTCTTTTCAGACGATACAATTCAGAGAGAAGTGAGCCATAAGAATTTCTCCATAAATGGCTAGCAATTTGTTCCATCAATCTTGAAGCTAAGTAACTGGTTGTTGACGCTTGTTCTGCCATTGTTTGAACATATATTTTCATTGTCTTCCTCTTTGCCTTTATGCTTGTTTATGATTTTTCAAGTTAGCTGGTAACTTGAGTTTATTTCACCATGCTTATTGATTACTGACTGATCTAGGTGCTGAGCTTCTGTAGATCATTTGGTTTCCTCTGTGCAATATTTTGAGGTTTTTTCAGTAGAATATATGTCCACAGTTACCAATGTATATTAATATTGGCGCTTTAACGCCTGTAATGTTTTTCGCGATTGGAACAGTTCATTTTACAGATAGTATCTGGCTTACCTTCTTTTGTTGTTTCGTCTCTTTGCACGGAATCAGTTGAAGGGATGTCACTGCTTATGATTGACACCTGTTCCTACTGACCTCAATAATCAGGTCGAAATTTCTGATATCCTTCAGTGTATCTTCACTCTTTTCATACAATTGATTTTGTGAGTTGTTGCCATTTTAGTTAACGATTTCTGTGTCGGTTGGTTTTCAGTACGCTTTAGCCCCTAGTTTCTCAGTATTGATTCTAGTGTTCAACACATTCAAGTATAATAGTTTGTTACTTAATTCTTTCTTCAATGTGAACTTTGTGTTATCGAAGGCGTTGTCGATAAAATTGTAGACATTCCTCCAACATCTCATAATCACATAGGCATAACACGGAGTGAAAGTGAGTAAATATTCTAGCTTCTGAAGTGTTCAGTATGCAGGTAACCTTTTGTCAGATGAATAGCCGAAGTTTTCGGAAAAAATCGGTAGGCAGAGATTGTTTAATTATCTGGGAATCATTTGACTGTCGTCCGCAATTTTTAAAAGAGGCGAAGTAAGCTATGTGATAATTATATGGGTTGATCTGCTACTTATTGCCTTTAAACTATTGAATTCTTAACACTCCATAAGTTCAAAACTTGTGACAAGCGAATTCACTAAAAAAGGCAGGTTCTATTCCATTTTATGGATTCTCTAATCTTATCCTCATTCTCCAACAAATCCTAGGACATTACCACACATACTGGATGCTAACAACCGTCGTGTTCCCTGATTTTAGCACCCTATCTCATTTGTTGGGAACGATTGTGCCCTTGGACACCCTATCAAAAAAGAGTTGGTTTAGAAGGTTTATTAATATCTTAAAGGCTGTTAGCGGAACTGTGTTCTGATTTGGGGACTTGTCGAGTGAATTGGTGTCCAAAAGCACTAAGCAATAGGAATAGCTGAGTTGCAATAAGAGAGAAATATAACAAAGGCTGTTGGGGATTAGTGCTGTAATCACAGGATGCAGCATTCACCCTTAAAATAAAAGTATGTTTGCAGAAACATGTCCCAGCTTCCGTTCTTTGTAATAAGCCTTTGGAAATAGTCTAAAATTGTCACTAGGTAGTTGTATGAGTGCTGGTAATGGCTTGTTAGATATGATAAAAGCCAGAGTGCTTGATGACAGTCTCAGCCATCGTGATGTTATCCTGGCTATTAAATGTCATGTTTACCAAGGATCTCTAAGATATTTTCTGTCCTGCACTTTTAAAACCTAAACTTTCCAAGCTGTGGGTGCTCGAGAACTGTATTCGGTCGTCGTTGTCTCCGACGTATTGGTCACATCCTACGGTAACAATATGTTGACAATGCTAAGGGATTAATGGTCAGCGAATAATTCAACCAATATGATCATCTTGCAGCCCCAACTACAGTGGCTTGTTCATGCTTTACAAGTGTCATCTTATCTTTTCACAACATCGATTCTTTTGTGCGTATTTTAAGTTACTCTTTTTACCAGAATTTATATCCTGTGAATATGCATACAAAGCAAATAAAATAGCTCACTGTGTCATTTTTACAATACGATTAGATGCTTCTATACGTTAGTGAATGTGTTTTACTGAGGATTTTGAGAGATGTAACTGTACATATGAAACTTATACCAACTGGCAATAGTTTGAGGTAATCATGGTTCTGAATTTATCTATAACACAATTTTATAATTAATTTCAAAACGGTTGCGAGCTAGAGTATGTTTGAATGAAATAATTTTTTGGAACATGTTTATAAATTAATCTACTGTCTGATCACTTTTTTTCTCGAGTTTGTGTATACTCATTAGTATTCTATTCCCTATCTACTTTGTGACCACCAACCATTTACAATCGATTTCCTAACCCTCGTTGATGAAAAACGAGTAGTCACAAAATCTCAGATTAACCTCACTATTTAACCTATTCAAAGTGGGAGATAAACAAAAACATCCCGTATCCGATATAATTTAATTCTTAGTTCAAAATTTTATGCTAGATTTACGAATTTTATTACTTAATTTAGGCTCCATAACAATTAGGAACACATTGAGGTTGGTATTTATAAACAGTGACTTATATGAACAAATGATTCTGATACGTAATCAGGATAACCTTATTTTCTAACATTTATATTCATCCAGATAACTAAAGTGGTTTAGAATAGGAGCATGATTAAATTATGCGCTGAATCCTTGTATATCAACTGTCAGGATAGACCATTTTCTTACAGAAAATGCTTGTGTTTGAAATATCAACGAAAATACCTCTGAAATGCTATTACGCAATCAATTTATTAAGCCGCACTACATACTTAGAGTATTCAAATTAGCACAAATAAGGAATAGCCTGATAAGCAAATTATATGCTATGACATGCGGATCATTATTCCCGTTATTCATGAATATTCTTTCACATAAAACTAACGGTCCTTATTGCTAATAATCATAGTTAAGGAAACCGCAATATACTCGATTTAAAATTAAAGATGGGTATATATATATATAAGAACTGTTTGCTCAGGAGTTATGACTACAAATGCTTAAAAGACTCCAGTAGGTGCTACTTATCATTCTAGATGTCTCTATTGTTTAGACAAGTAATGCACTCACAAGAAATAATGATTTCTATAGCATTTTGTTCACAAGATATTTCAATATAATTACAACACATTAATAGTATACGGAGATTTTCTCTAATGAATCTAAGCGGCGATATTTGTCTTCATCACCATCATCATCAGACGGACTTTTTAGTTTATCCGCTCCATCCATTTCTTCCATTTCACCCACATTATATGGTACTCTCTGTTGACTTTGTTGTACTATATCTTCATTCATTGGTTTGAAAGAACTGGCCACAACCGTACTAGAATAATCTGGTGCTGTATATAAGTATTGTAAGTTGTTTGTATTATATTCATTTCTCATATTGTCCATTTGAGAATTGGGTGTTATCTCATCCCAGTACCCATCCAAGTTGTTGTTGCTATCATAATCTTGGAAGTTGTTTACATACTTGTTGTCGGTCCGGTAAGGTAGCATATTGATTCCAGGAATAATTATCATAAGATTCATTAACCACCACAATAACATATTTTGATTTCTAATATGGCGATCTGAAAGTAGCTATTAGATTTTGTTAATAAATACAATACTGTATAACAGTTTTGTGAATATTACTCAAAGTGACACATCTTATTATTATATTATCTATAATTCATTAGACTACTGTGATTTCTGCTCATATGTATAAGTTTAATGAAATATTAGAATGGAAAAATTAAATAAATCATAATGACTAGTAATTTACAAGACGTTTAAATCGATATTTGTATACTTTACAAGTCATAGGAATAGTATCACTTAAATTGCGATCAGACAAGTTGGGTGATTTTTTTCCGGAAAATCTATTCGATCACTTATCAGTTACGTAAAATACAATATAACATCAACATACGAAATGTTTCAATTATCAAAAATTGATCGTTTTATAAAAGTAATTAATTGAAGCTAGCGAATGAAATAAGATTTTGTTTTATTTCATCTGTGTCTTATTAGAAAAATCCACTTATTTCCTAATGTTTTAAAACTTTCATTGAAACCTCAACAGAATATACGTCATTATATATATAAATATATACATATATATATATATATATATATATATATATATATATATATATATATATATATATATATATATATATAAGAATATAAAGGTTTTATTAATTCATCTTAAATTAAGATTGATAGACGAAACGTTCGGCACTAATTATTTATCTGAATATTGTAGCGGTAAATAAACAACTCATTGTGTATTTAATACCAGTACAAACATCGTTAGTTTTAATGAAAATTACTAACTGTAAGCACACGGTTAAAAATCTACGCTGTTTTGTGGGATGCCACCATTCATCATCTTGATACCCAGTGAAGTATCCTTATTCCTGTCTATCTCTGTGTGCGAATAAATAGTCTTTCTTTCCAACTAGTATCACCCTTACCAACTATCTTTTAAGTTCATATACATCTTCCTAGCACTACTTTTTGATGAGTTTGATATTTTGGATTTTGCTGCATAAAGAATCTTCAATTTATAAATATGTATTTACTGATGTAAACTTTGGTTAGATTTGAATCAATTCGCGTTCATGTCAGACAGATCCTACCTGGTAATCTGAATAAATGCGTTGTAGGAAAGTATGAAAAAGTATATATCGTCCTGGTTGATTTCAAGGTTTTTCACTGGTCCCAGCTTATGGTTGACCCCACTAGTCTATCCAAAAGTTTTGTTGTTTTTTACGAAATCTACCCTGAATGTTTTCTTGAGGCTTTTTAAGCATCCTTTTAGCCATCAATTTTTTTCAATTTCACTCTTCTCTTAAGCATTCAATTTATCTACTGTAAGTGGCTGTTTTAAATTTACTAAAGGCTGACATTGCATTCTCTCACCTATGCTTTTGGTAATTTATGCTAATCTATTAGTTTTTATGTCATTGCTGAATAAAGTGTTTACTGAATGTTTCGTGATAATCTGAGACACTAAGTTGATGGGAAGTTTGCTATCCGTGTTTCGGTCTCCGGGACAATTTCTCACGTAATTGTTAACAATGGTGGCATCTTTTCACCTATCTGAAGATTTCCAAGCTGATAGATAGTGAAGTCACCTTAATAATTTGCATCATCAGAGCGTCTTATAGATTGCAAGGGTCTGGTTCCAGTTTTGTTTCTAACCTGCTCTGTTGGCATATCTGGTATCCAAATGATTACCAAAATTAACATTCAACAGGTCCCTAAACAGAAGCTGAAATATTTTATGATTATTCAGGTAAGCTGAACTGGCGGAATGATAAATTTGTATGAACCAAAAGATTTACAATATATGTTAAGTACATTAAACCATTACGATATATAATAGTAGGTAGTTTTGTTAGTTTGCTTAGGAAAATCTATGGATAACCAAACTAGAAAACTTAACGAATTTACGGATTTTGTTATCTGAGGTTTTCGCGTCCATAATAAATGATTGAAAATTCCCTCTTTCAGCCCATAAAATAAACTTCAAGTATCATGTTAATAGTAAATTTATTTAAATTATAAATATTCTATTGATGTTTTTACTTATCATTTGGATGAGTAGTCTACATGGTCGCAAATGTGAAATGATATACACTGGTTGTTTTCTTGGAGAGTGCCTATTGGTGGAATTTGTGACACGTATATCGTCTCTTTTGAGGCTCGTTATTTGACCGAGTCTGCATTCCATTTTTAATAATGACACTGAGATTGGAATTTAGTAGGGATCATTTCAAGCTTTAGAGTGCCATCTACTCAGCTATTAAGTTGTGATAGGAGCTAATAAATTCGACGATTATTTTATTTTTTACTTGTAACTACAGAAAATGTCGAGATATCAATTAAAGAAATCTATGTACAAATAATGACTGGTTAAAATCTCTTTTCAGTATCAGCAAAGCGAAAATCTAAACTTTTAAAATTCCTAAATTCACATACAAGGTGATCGAGTGATCATGTGGATAACTCAGGTATGATGTACTGGTTATTGGGCTCGAGTCTCAATGTCAACATCATCATAGGATAAATTCAAGATAAATGCAATTCTGAACTCCATTGCTAGTGACTGTTCAAAACATAACCAGTATTTAGTACTTAACACATGATTTAACATAATTTTATTACCTAGTTTTCTTTCATAAATTTCATGAATGTTAACTTTCGGACTTCATGCACACTTGAGAATAATATTCGTCAATATAAATCATTTTAAGTATGCAGACAGGCTACTACTTAGATTCACCGATTTCATTCTAGTTCCTAATAATCAGATCGGTTTTGTGGATACTACAGTAATTCCAATGGTTAAGATCATGAGTCAATTGAAGCTAGACCACCATGGGAAACCTGGAGGCACTGGGCGACCGTTTCGTCCCATTGCGAGACTCCTCAGCAGTGCTCATCCACGACATTGCCCCTTGCGAGATTCGAACCCGGGACCCACTGGTTTCGGGCGCGAGAACTTAATCACTAGACCACTGAGCCGGTATCCAAAGGTGTTAATGTCTAACGTCAACTAATCCATGAAATTGAGCGACACATCCACCATTGTCTTCAGTGGGTCACTATCTCACAACAGACTCAGTTGAATTCCACTGGTCACTACTTCTCACTAGAACTCCAGTATATACCTCTTGAAGCCAGTCACTAGTGAGCATATGTTGATTAATATTAGATGGGTTTTGTGGATATTATAGTAATTTCAATGGTTAAGATCATGAGTCAGTTATAGTTAACTATCTTAAGAATTAAAGCTGATTAAACGACTTTTAGTGTATTATGTTAAAAACCATGCATTCACTGTAATTTTAACAACCCGACGAATGAAAATGAATACTTTTTTCATTTAGGTATTTGCTTATCCGTATTATATAAACTTCATATAGTTTCAAATAACGTTTAAATTATTTCTTCTGTTTGGTGCTTTTTCGAAAAGGTTCTTTTTTATGAGATTGGGTTGCTAATCCCATTCCCAACCTTCGTCAATTATCCGATCTTGAGATGGAACCTAGAATGGATCCGTTTATTTTTAAATATTCTTGTATATTAAAGGCTCACTAATCAACTATATGGATGAAATGGTGATGATGAATTTGTTACGTTCAGTCTTTTCTGTTTCAAACTTCCCCCATCGACCCTTCACTGATCATATTCTTTTCACAAAATGAAATTAATGCTCACAATCTTATTATTTATTTATCTGAACACAAACAATGGTACAAGGGGGCACCAGATATATATGCGCCACACAAAACAATGAGGATGAGAAGATAAAAAGAAGGTAAGGTGTGTATAAGAAAAAAACAATAAGGACCACAGCTTAGTGTATCGTAGTGTAGTAATAATAATAAATAATGATGGGGGAAACAGAGAGGCACAACCAGAAGAATTATTTCAGTTAAGGAAGTTACAACTACTTTTTATGAAAAAATTAAGAGAAGGTTCCAACAGGATCGCCACTGGCTTCTATTCAGAGACATATCTGATAACGTCTCTAGCCACTGTGTTACACCATCTCTCGTACTCCAGCCAGGGAGTCGTGAAGGACCAATAGAAGCCAGCCCTTTGCAGCTTTCTTTCATACCATGACACCATGTCATAGACTGACCACCTCTCCGCTTTTTCCAACCAGTCCCAGCGTCGGCAAATAAAGCACAACGTGCGATTTTCTGGGACGACATTCGTAGAACATGTCCAAGCCACCGAAGTCGATGTTTCAAGATGGTGACACCAATTCGATTATCGTCTCTGCGCCCGAACACACGATGCCGAATCTCTGCATTACTGACATGTTGTTGCCACTGGATGGCAGCAATCCTTCGGAGACAACGATGATCAAACACAGAAAGTCGTCTAACATCCTCTACTTGGAGAGGCCAGGTTTCACAAGCATAGAGTGAAACTGCTCTCACCGACGCGTTGTAGATCCGACCTTTTACAGCCGAACTGACATCACGAAGGTGCCAGCGATGGCCCAGATTGGCATAAGCCTCTCTGGCTTTCACTATACGTGAATCGATCCCATCACTCATGCCACCTGACAATCTACGAAAGATAAAAAGACCCATTTTCAACAACGCTGTAAAGCTTAACATTTTAATTCACCTTTTACATCATACTGTTTTGTTGGTAAAGAAATGAAAGATAAAAATTAATGCAACCAGAAAATCAAGTATAGGTTTATAAGGCATTTCTAAAACAATAACCAATTCGATGATATCACTGGACTAGTTAAAACAAGAGTAGATAGTACCGAATTTAAATTCAGTTTTTAATAAGTCCAATTCAAATACCTAGGTATTTAGTTATGGCTTAATGTAACATTTAATAAGATTAGATACATTTCAACTGAAATTCTAGATAACATTCACGAAAATAATAAAATCAGGAAATATTTTATAGAGAAATTTTCACAACGAACATCTGCGAATTAAACAAAATAGTATCGTTCCAAAATAAACTTATTACTACACTTATAAAATATTTGTTTGATTACGAAATGATAAACATCAATAATA